AGGTTACCAAACTTGATCCATGCCACATGTCATTGACCTCTGTTACTGTTTGGTTTCTGTTTAATCAATACATAGTGTCATATTACAACCCTATCTCCCCTTAACGGCCACCTTTCTGCGTCAGCCACTTTCCCCTGTACTGAAGGTGGCTGTTGTATAGAGTTTCAACTGTAGTAACTAAAGTACACCTTTTCTTGAACCCCAAGCCCTCTATTGCTCCATAAGTAGACATGTGGTGGTGAACTACCTAATTTACAAGTGCTAATGATAATGCATTTATGTATTTAAATATCCCCGGCAAATATTTTTGTATAATTATCAAAATTGATGCATTTAGTTCCATACATGAGAATGTTAAATAAAACTGTAGGACATGTTCTTTCATGTATGTCGTGGAAAGCAGAAGAAATTGGAAATCTCGGGGGGCGAACACAAGCCTGGAACCAATGGAAATGGCAATTCCGCAATTAAACAGCATGCGGAAACTGGCCATGATATACATCCTAGTTATGCCAACATTCTTGAAACAGGTGTGAGCGGCAAGAGCAAAAGACTGTTTCTTGAATCCTTGCACTCTTTCTTAGACAAAAAACTCCGTAAATGAAAGAGCACCCTTCCCAAGGGTTTACGTGTCACTGGTTGCCTCCCAAGGGGGCAACGAACAATAACGTCCCAGATTATTAAAATTCTGTGAATCGCATGAAATCATCATTCTCTGAAGAAGACCGCAGAAGGCGGTTGAAAATTTTACTTTTTTTTTTTTTTTAAGATCTGTTTTAAACGTTTTTTAAAGAACTATGAGAATGTTATGACAGTCGTTTTATTCCAATGCTGCCTCAAAGTTGCATTGATGCACTTAAAGTCCTCAGTGAACTTGATATCATCTCAAATTAAACTACAGAAACACACCAAAAACATACTCCATTCCTCTGCCATGCATAACTAATTTACCATTAACTACTATAAGTTTGATTTGGTATGTGAGTGGAGCAAAATTTGAACCAGTCCTAAATTTATATGATTGAAACTCAGAAAACCCTATTTTTCAGGGGTACCACAATTCCACAATTTTTTTAGTAGCTTGGCTTGAAACCGGGAGTATCAGTAGCTGGAAAAGTTTGTTTGTCCTGGGCCGGGTTGTTTGGAAGCCAGTTAACATTAACCCAGGATGAAAAATTAACTGAAGTAACAATTTTTCTTGTATAAGAAACGTTTTTCACTTCTTATGTTCTGTGTAGATTGAGTTTACTTAAGCTCAAAACTGAGGGACAAGCAATATGGGCAGAAAACATCACTGAAAAAATACAAAAGTAAAAAACAAAATTCTTGCTAATCCCGGCCTTGGTGATTAGGAATGTTCTAATCTAGAAAGGAACTGTCGTTGGTGACTATTGTACAAGTCAACTGGAAAGTCTCCAGACTCCTTAAGATAACTTTGAGGGTTGTACATGGGTATTCTCATGATGCGTGATTAGCTGATTTTATTTTCCGTGAAACGTGAATTTAGGAAATTATTCTTTGTGACTTGTGACCTGAAAGTTTTTTGTGTCCCATGAAGAACCTGAATTATTAACCGATATTTGTGATTTTACCACTCTACATGATTTTGAGATGCAAGTCCTCAGAATGGTTAGGGTCGTCTATCGAGAGTGATTTAGGTATGCGATTTGCAATATGGAGCCTTGACCTAACCATTCGCGATCTTGCTTTCTTCAAACACTGTTTCTAGTGTAAGAACAGGTTTAAAAAGAGTATCTCACTTGCTTATTTTCGTGATTCGGGAAAACAAAATTTTTATTTCCGTGATTTTTATTTCTGTTCGTTAACCGTGCAAGAGATCCCCCCTGTACGACCCTCAACTTTGGCTCAGGTTTTCAAAAAGTGTATCACCTGCAACTATAGTTATGTTGAGAACTAACCTCTCCTGAACAATCACACAAATATACAACCTACAGTTAGTGTAAAACACATTAACATGGAAGGCAGGTCAATTTATCATTGTAATCATCCTTTTGTTCAGGAAATGCAAAGTGAGTCTATTGAGAGTCAACTTGCAGAGGAAAAGTGTCTGATGGAACAAAAGTATGCCAGCATGCTTCAACAAGTGCTGGCTGAAAAACAACTGGTGAGATTTAGTGGAGAAATTGTTAACTAGGTGATGATAGTTTATTGAACATTTTAGAGACTTATGGAGAGGTTTATGAATAGTCGAATGGAGTGGGCTAAATCATCTTCAAAGCCGCTCAATTTGCCAGGTGCCCATTCCTTAATGAAACCCCTGCATAAGGTGGACGTATGAATAACAGGATTGGTCGTGGATTATTTACATCGTGATACAGTGGAATTCCGATTTCTCAAACCCTCAATTTTTCAAGCCTCTTGATAACTTGAACCAAAAGTTGTTTCCCCTCCTCAGTCAAACACTGTGTATTTACCCCCAATTTCTCTAACTCTCTGATTTTTCGAACCAATTTTTGTTTCCCCTGGAGGTTCGAAAAATCGGAATTCCATTGTATTTGCATTCATAAAGGATGGAGCTTGTAATCACTTTTAAAAGGAATGTGAGGTGGGGAGGGGGGGAGGGTAGGGTATTAAAGGAGTAGATATACTGCTGTAAATTTTTTGTAATTTGATAAACAATACNATTTATAACGTATTTCTTTGATATTAGACATCCATATTATGGTCAATTGACACCTGTCAAAACCAGGTATCCACTGACCAGTATCACATGACCATATCACAGGCTCAAGTTTAGAGCTCATCGAGATCATGTGTATAGTTTGAAGTTGACTGCTCACCTGGAAGCACTGGTTTTCAATTGGATAGCGGGCTCAAGCTAGGTTAACTTGTTGTAATCAGGGCCGTGTTGTTTGGAAGTTAGTTAACGCTAACCCTGGACAAAAAGTTAACTGAAGTATAAATTTTTCTTGTATAAAAAATTTTCTCACTCCAAAACTTGTGTTTTGTTTGGTTTGAGATTAATCAAACTCAAAACAGAAGGCAATACAATATAAGCAGAAAACCTCACCACAAAGTTACAAAAATGTATTAAATTGAATCAAACAGCTTGTGCTAGTTCTGTGTTTCCATTGAGTTATAGAAGCACGATTTTTAACCGATCGGCACACGTATTTCCTTAGGACTGTTTTCTAAATTAGCATATTATATGTTAAGTAAAACTTGAGACATTCTCTTGCTAAAAGTATTTTAAAACACCTGCTTTCAACTGTCTAAATTGCTTAAATGGTGAAATGATGAGCAAGCTTGACTTGTGGTTTAAAATATTTTTAGCCAGAGAATGACTTAAATTATGTTCTACTATGATCTATCCTGGCTGCAGTGTCTTGGCATTTTCAAAGTTATGCTAGTTTGGTATTGTGTCTCACAGGAAGATTTGAATATACAGATGCCTATAAATTTTTTAACAGAGCCTAGAATGAGGTCCAGATTGAGGGCTATGTTATTTGTAATATCCCTTTAAGGAGAACATTATCTTTTAGACTCATCTGCAACACTCATCGGTGAAGCAAAAGATTGCCACGTCACAGAGAAGGCTACTTCCAAGACAACGAAAACTTCCAAGAACTCTGGGAAAACAAACCACAATAAGAAAAGTCCAAGTAAAAGTTCATCTTCAAAGGATGTGCATGTTGGAAACAATCTTTCTTTTTCAGGGAGCATGGCAAATATATCAACACCTTCTTCATCAGATTTAGTAGCAAGAACTTTATGCACAGGAGTTAGCATTTCACCTTTTTTGGCAAAGAGTAGCGGAGGCTATGTTGGTCAAAACCCTTATAAAGTTTCGCATCAAATGGCTCCCATGCAGCCAGTAACCATGGCAATTCAGCATGTTCCTAAAATAGATAAAGTGTTTACATGTAGTTACCAACAGAATGTGTTGAACAGTGTTAGTAATTCAGGTGTAGCTGTGATTGACTCTGTGAAAGACCTCTCCCTTGGACCTCAAAGGAAGGTTGCAACATCTGTCGTGAGTTCTTTCAATCAGCCCAGGTCAGCTCCTGGCTTTATTAAGCAACAGAATGTTCACACTAGATTGCCGCAGAATCCACTGCCATACCAAGCAATCCAGAAGGTTATCTTCCCAAGTGCAAACATCGCCTCCCAAGCCGAGCAAAGGGGGCCATCTTTTCAAAGTTTGATGTTGTCAAGTTCATCAACACCACCAACAACTGGAGGAAACCTTTCAACTGTTGTAGGAATGGCACACCAAAGTCAAATGAGTTTTCCTGTCACAAACTTTAGCCAGGCATTTTCACTGCCAACTAGTTGTCAGATTACGACTACACAGATGTCTGCACCAGATCCTCAAACAAGTCAGGTAAGTGATCTAAATAGCTTAAGCTAAAATGATATTTGACAGTTTCTCAAGTAACCCATGGCCAAAATTTTAAGTTTTATGAACAGCAAAACAGATTTCTGTTCATACTAGATATGAACATTTTTTTGGTCATATTAGCTATGAACAGAAAATTTTCTCAGCCCAAGGTTTCTCAGCACAAAAGTTAAACTAAACTACAACTGTATCTTTTAAATTCATATATTTATTGATTTACACTTAATTCACAGTATGTGTTTAAACAAAGACACATTGAACAAAGCTGGGCAAATCGTGAATTCAAACCTGTTTCAGAACTGTAAACATAAAAGGTTTGTTAAAGGGAGGATTTCATGGTTCAGCGCATGTCTCTAAATCGAAATACTTTTTCTGCTTCTTATCAATGTTATTGCTTTAAAAACCCCATGTACTTCAGTAATCGTGTGCTATAGTTATTCGTGGCAGAATGACAGATGACCAAAATTCTCAGAAGATTTCAGTCAATTTTACCAAGGTTGTCAACCATTGAATTTAGTGTTGACCCTTATGACCCTTTTGACCCTTTTGGCTACTTGTATGCAAAATTAGGTAACTTGCTTACGATTGGTCCATAAACAACGAAAAACTGGACCTTTGTCAAAAAGCATGCACAGGCAAATTAATAATACAGACGTACATATGCTGAACGGTGAAACCCTCCCTGTAAAAAAATTGGGATTGTTGTAATATTTCGCTCGTACCCACATGATGAACATGTGAACAATGACATTAGCAATATATTAAAAATAATCTTAAATATAAGATTAGTATGATATTGTCTGTGATTTCAATTTGTTTTGGACGAATACAGAGAACATTTCATGACTGTCTGGGGATATCAGTTTTATTATTGAGTGCTGATGGTATTTTTTGGGAATGAGCTCAGCAAACAAAGTTATTTTTAGCAGCAAATGTTATTTTCTGTGTGAAAAGAGAAATTCAACTTTAACTTCAAATGTGAAAGGTTAAAATAGTATCTTCATGTCACAAAGAAATCAAATCTTTAAAGAACAAGGAAAATTCCATGTGTCAGACTAGTAAATAAAGTGAGGGAAGAAGCAAACAAGTGACGTATGCCATCAGCACTTGTGAGAAGATAAAATTCGTGTCTCCAAGCGTAATGTTCTTTTTATTCTATGGGATATCGATGAAACATTCAAATCTAAGACATCTCAGATTGTTAGTAATTTTAAAAGCACTGAAAACAGTAGTCACGTTAACTGAGGTCAGGACTGTAAACAAAAATGTTCAAATTAACTAGACAACCATTTTAATGAATTGTACTCAAGAAAATGTTATTTTCTGTGTGAAAAAAGGCAAATTCAACTTTAACTTCACATGTGAAAGGTAAAAATAATATCTTGGTGTGACGAAGAAATCAAATCTTTAAGGAACGAGAAAACTCCCATGTGTCAGACTAGTAAATAAAAATTAGTAGCATTAACTTTTTTTTACAAGTGCTGAGTAAAGCTTCTGTCTCTGACTTAAGCAGGTTGTCTTGTCACAGCACTGGTCAAACCAGATTGTGCCAGGAAGACTGCAAGCTCCAACAATGCAGGATGACTTCTTGCTCCAGATGCTTCAGGTAAATGTTATATTTCAGGTAAATAGTATATTCCATTTAAAAGCTTCCTGTCCTGGGACTGACTCGCATGTTGAAGGAGAGTACACTCCTTGAAAAATTTGAATTGTTCCCTAAAGGAGATTTATCTGAGTGTGGCACAAGCCTTACTTGTCGTCTCAAAGATACTGTACCTTTCTAAAACAGGTAAACAAGGACTATGATAAAGACATTGTAAGTTATTGAATGCTTTCCTCTATGAAGAAATCTAATGAATTCCATGCCTGATATGTTGATCAGAAAAAATATTGATGTTCTGTCCTGAACAGTGGCAGATCTAGGGGAGGGGCCTGGGCCCCCCCCTTATTTTGGGTAAAAAAAACTCGCAGAAGGAAGAAAAGCTGGTAGGACAAGCACAACCCCCCTCCCCCCTTAGCTCAAGGTCTGGATCCACCACGCTGACTGCCCTAGGTGATACCAAAATTCACAGTTTACAAATAGAATGAAGAATATAAAAGCGGGAAATTATGTTTTCATTTTCCTCTTTCTTTAATGCAAAATGAGCAACAAATAGAGCAATGTGAGTTAGAAAAAATTCAAGTTAGTTTATTGAAGAGTCAAACTATAAGTTTGGTAAATCCTTATCACTAGCATTGAAAAGCATCTTGATTTTCAAATCATGGTGTGCTATTTACATTTATTTTTTCGGTTTTTACATAACAGGAGAACAAAGAACCCCCAGTTCAGCTTGGAGCCCAGTCTCAAGCAAACAGCGCATTGCCCAGTTTAGATCACGTGATAACTGACCCAGCCTGGGCGATGACCATTGGCATGTGACCATAGCAGGCATGGCTGCATGGCTGACTCGCCCACCTTTTTCAAGTAGTGTCTCTCTGCTTTCCTCTTTTTCTACGATTTGCATTTTCATAGAATTCTTTTAAACAGAAATTTCTTTTTAAATAACCGTTTTTTTTTTTATAATACCTCAAAAGGTGTTTTTAAAGGTTATTACGTCAACAAATTTTTACTGATTTACAGCAACTTGGAACTAGACAAAATATTTTCTTACTAACAGACATTAAGTCTTACCTTTTTCCTTGATGTTTTAAAAACAAAACCCAAAGAAACCAACTCAAAGTATTCAAGGTTATCTTCTTAGACCAATCAACTTGTTAGAAACATTTCTTTGCCTCCAAAAAAGGAGTTATTGACGCACCAAGTGACGTCACCAACTCCTTGGCTTATAATTGATGTAGTTAGGATTTTATACCTTGTAGGATTGTACCAAATCGAACGGTTACCCGGGCTCGTGTTCTCATTGGTGTGCCTTATTTTAAAATTTTCTTGATTTCCTTTTTTGTTTTACTTTATTTACGATAGCCGCCGTGTTTGTTTTGACGTGATAATTTTGCGCATGATTTCTGAGGGGGCAAATAAGTTAAAATCAGCAAATTTTACCTGGTTTCTATTATTTCAGATAATATCAACGTAGCAGAATGGAATCAGCACTCCATAATTTGGCTCTCAAAAAAGATTTTGACAGAAATGCCTCACTATTGGGACAAGGCAATTTTCCGAGAACTGTCTTTTTTCCAACGTTATCCCCCTGCGAGACCGCATGGCTAATTAGCACGATAACTTGAAAAACATTATGGCGGCTATTGTGAATATGGTCAGGAGAGGATGAAGAGTGAGAGAGTGTTTATCCCCATATAAGGCTTATTCCCAAGGTAATCCTTCTCAAGTTATTGTTATACATGGTACCCAGTTCTTCAGCAGATATTGTTACCACGCGTGTTGCGTGGATGTTTTCGTGCAGGATTAAAACGCGTGTAAAGCCGCTTGGACTGCCCACGTGAGCAAAATCCGCATCACATGATTGGATGTTTTCTAGACCCCCTTGGGATGACTGGGAGTGGTCTGAAATAATCTGAAAAGGATTACTTTAGGAGTAAGGCGCATATGGGGAATTAATTGTTATCCTTCGTCCTCTCTTGATAAGGTCTTGTGGTTTGTTTTTGTCGCGGCTGTCTTTATCGTGTCTGCCATCTTTATTGTGTCTTTTATGTGTCTGCAATTCACAGCTAGGCTTCTTATTTGTATTTCAAAGTAACACTCTTTTTCCTCAGCAGTGCTTTTGCTTGCCTGCGAGATGCGCTCTTTGCTAAGCTCATCATGGACAATGGCAAAATGCTGAAGGAAGATATATTGAAATAATAAATTTCCAAACATAAAAATATGAAGTTTTTTCATCCTTTTAATCGTCAACGTTCCTTCAGTTGGTGGCCTACTACTAATCTACTAGTCGTTTAAAACTTTTAAGTTGAAAGTAAATTATTCAAATATCCTTCATAGACATAGCGGCCGCCATTTTGCTAACAACCGCACACTCGCAATCTACAACAGAAGAGATACATAGTAACGTAGCCAATCAGAGAACGACATTCGAGATAGAACGCTAGTAGATTCATACTAAAAGGTTTCATACTCGTCCATAGCCCTGTGTAATGCCTGAGATTTTAGGTGTTTAAAAACCTACTCAAACATTTAAAATTTGTTTCTTGTTAGTGTCTTTGCATCACCGTTTGCCCAAACCGTATATCTACAGGAGAAAGTGAAGACTTGCAAGGGGAAATTTCAGTGATGTTAGTCGCACTTGTTTGATTGCTTGCTTTTGTGGTTGGAAGCGGCCATAGCTATAGGAACATATGATTGGCTGTCGGTATTCCAATCGTAGCAAACTCGTGCTCCGTCAAAGGAAGGCCGCTTTTTTCACTATTCGGGAAACCTGGGACCGAGGAGGTTTTGCTTCTTTCGGTCACGTGAAACCAAGAAGACAAAGGAGCTCTGGGTAAAAGAATGCGCGATAGCAAAATGCATGGAAAACGAAAAACGGACAACAGAATCCTGCGTCGGTTTTCAGACCGCAATTTAAAACCGTCAAAAAAAAACCTCACAGCATATAATAATAATAATAATATGATATAATATACAGTAGATTGCTTACCATTCAGCCAGAAAATCCGGAAATTCCGGTTGAAAGTCAAAGGGAACTGTAATTTTTAAGAAAATCTGTTCGGAAATTGTTGACTACCTCCAGAGATGATCTTCCTTACCATTTGCTAAATTTTCCAGTTTCCAGTCTCTCATCAGCCGAAACAATTACGGGAAATCGAGTTGTAAATGGTAAGCGCCATCTCGTTCGGTTGGTTTGCTGATTTGGAAAAAAAGCATTGCCATTATTCAACGGTGATCCCAAACGGTTCATTCTGAGAGTTGGTAAGCACCCATAAACTCAACCAAACACTTTTCTGTTTCATATTTTATTTCTCCATTATTTTCCTGTTCATCGCTTTCAGTGGGTGGCCCACAAAAAGGACTAGCTGAAAGTATGACATGTTAAACTCTCTTTTGATCTGCCAGCAAATCTGAGAGGTGAAAATTGCGTGCTGTCAGAAATCGCACTCTCACCCTCTCTCACGCACGCAAACTTGTGAAACTGTTTAACTTCTAAGTGACACCTATCGTAGAATCTGGCTCGTACCTTAGTCCACTTTCAAATGTTTTCTTTGCATTTCTCACTTTCGCGTGGCAAAGCGCAATTTGGTGTTTTTAACTTCCGTGACTTCAGATTTATCAGTGACATCTTTCACCGTAAGCGCGGCCAGATTTCAAATAATGACAGGTCGAATACATTGAACATCACAGTCACAACTTAGAGTCGTTTTGTCTTTTTAAGGCATGTTGCAGGTGTAATGTTGATACTTCACTCTGAAGAATAGACTCACAAATAGCATGCTTCCATTATCCTAATGAACACTGATTTAAACCCGCCGTGAAACTTGGGGACAAAAGATTGTATCAAGGGACTCTGCACGATTTGAGAAACCTACTGAAATCAGTGACTGAGAACCTAGTTTATTGGCAAAATTTTGATTCGCTGGAATCAAAACTATTATCTATACCGTGCATTTTGTTTTATAAACTCCACCTCGGAGATTTCTTTCTCAATCTCTCAGCCTACTATAAATAGAAGTTCCTGGTATAACGAAGGAACAATGGTTCAGTTTAGCTGGCGTTCTTCGAACCGAAGATCAACGCGATCAGTGTTGAAGTCACCTTGCTTATAGAAGTTAATCTATGATTTCCATTGTGTACCGCATTTTATTGTGTACTAAGAAAGGATTTCATGTTTGTCCTTTTCAAAGTAACATTTTCTGTTGCCATGTGAAAAGTCAGTGATTCCTCTTTGTTCTTTTTCGATGTGATTTCGCTTTGTTCGGGGGCGGCCAAGCACATTTTTTTGTCCATTTTACAGAGCATAAGAGGTGCTAATTGACTGCACCTGCCGGTTACCTCAAAATATTGGAATAACTGCATCGAGGAAAACTTCCCCCTTTCATGGGATTTCCGCTGTACCAGTCATCCTGAATACAAGGACAAAACACCCAGCGGTGGAAAAGAAACCATTTTGGGTTTCTAGCTTACGAGCATCGCTTCGCGAACTAATTGAACAAACAAGATTAACCAGTTGGCCAGTTTACCTTTTTTAAAATGCAGTTGTAAACAATCAATCTTTCCTTGTTATTGCTCTTCTGTTTTTGTTTTTTCAACTGCCTAACGTTTAATAAATGTCCTGCTACGTAGTCCATGTGCTTGTTTTCGATATAGTTTTCCTTTTTATCATGTTAATTTTTTGTGCTAAACATGCGGAGCCTAACAACATTATCTCAGTTCAGGAACAAGGAAGCCGTTTCATTCGACGGGCTGTTATTTAAACTGAAAAAATAAAACGGCAAAAGAGCGTTTGAGATATTTGTCTTGAAAAGCGCGAAACAAAAGCTTAATTTAAGGTCGCCGTTTTCCAGGTGAATTAAAAAAAGCGTGTGCAATACAGAGCAACGGCTAGAATTTACAAAAACAGGTATCAAACAACGCAGGCTTTTGATGCAAGCAGCGCAGCCCCTTTTTCCCCGTGGATCCTCCGTAATGCTAATATGGATACTGCCGACATATGGAATTTTTCATTTCGAAACATCTGCCTTCAAAGCATAATATTATAGCGACTTTATTGTTGTGTTTTGAAAAGGCACATTATTGACCTATTTTCCTGTATGCCTTTGTCTTGCCATTCTTTAAGCTTGTTTTTCGCTTGAACAACCGCCATTAAAAATTTACCTTTAGTTCCTCACTGACTATAAACCGATGACTATCGAAAATGGTGCATTTTTTTTGTTCAAGAAGTCATTGCGTATACTCGATACTTTTGTCAATCAGCCGACACCACAGATCGACGCGAAATTTCGTTGTTCCTTAATTTTTCGTCGATATATGATTAACGAACTAAACAAAGACGCTATGTTGCTAAACACTCGTTAAGGACTGACACTTGACTGTTAAGGCTGTTAAAAGTACATTTTAATAATTTGTTGAAGTAATGTTGAGAAAACCACTCCTGAAATTTAAGATCAACTTTGAAGGTAGACAACGTCTTGAGCGACTAAATGATGTAGGTAAAATCAAAGTACAAAAAAAAATTCCGTGAAACCCTTCGTGATTATGAATAGATTATCGTTGAATGACACAACCTTACAAGTAATATGCGAAAAAGGTACGAAATGCTCTTTGACTATTGCATTTTTTGTCGGCTTCGATTTTTTTTTAACATGCGGTCTAAATTTATTTCGTGGGTGTAAATAACTTGAAAGAGTGTGAGCTTCTGTTTTATATGTGGGACAGAGTTTGAGAAAAGCCATTAAAGCAAGAGCTAAACATACAAAATACCACCTGCCGAACGCAATTTACACTTGGCTGCTTGTCCGAATTTTGATCGTTAAAAATAATTAGGAAACCCACCGCGTTTAGCTTTCGCTTGGAATTTTGGTGGTCGAAAATCCTTTCCGTCTCAAATAGCAGTAAATTTCCCTCAAAGTTGAGTTGAAATGGGCTTTTTCTTAATTCTCCAATAACGCAAATAACTGTAGAACGGCAAGCAAGATGAACAACTGTCTGTCACCTTGATCCAACTTGCTTATTTGTCTCGGTGTGTGTGTAGAATTAACAAAAATATTGGAGTGCAGGTAGAGTCAAAGTTTGTCTTTACAACAGTGTATAAGAGTGTTTAATAGTGGTCTTACTGAGGAGGGCAGAAAAAATATGTCTGCTGTGCTGGAATGGATAAATAACTTTATTTTCGTATCAAGTGCGCAGCAAAAACAACAAACAGCAAATAACCCAGCAAAAAAAACATGCTAACGGGCAGTCACTTGACTTTGACAAAAGTTAACGACATACTCGATTTTTGAGTGGTGAAGAACTGCGAACACCTGCCAAAGTCTGTTCTCTGAAAGCTAAAATACCCGACACAAACACACAATTTATTCAGCTTAGAAATGACAGCACCCTTGAGCTGAAAGCTTTGACAAGATGCAAATGGGACACGGTTTTAATTTTGGTATACTGCTAAAATTCAATTTGCAACAGAATAACGCGCGAACTCGCCTGCGGACAGTCGTGTGCGAATATTTGCTAAAAACGCGGGCTATTATTTTCTGCTCGTCCATTTAGTTTAAATCTTTTTCAACCATCATCTCTCGTTGTCCGAAGCGCCGAGTTATTTTTAACCACAAAATAATCATCCAGCTAAAAGTCTACGATGCATTGTCTTAATTCAATGATGTCTACTAGTTTTAGCGATAAACACAAACCATCGTGGTACCATAATTTCTTAAACTGCAGAAATAGTTTTGACAGTTCAGTTTCATCGAGTGCCTGGCGTTATTTTGGGAGAATTTTAATAACATATCTTCCAATTAACTACAGACCATCTATTGAAAGAGAAAGCGATAACATACGACGCATAAAAAAATTGACGATTTGAAGATAAAATCTTTTCCCCGTTCTTACAATTTTAAGCCTCTGCATGCACGAAAAAACAACGCTTTTAGAATGTTTTACTTTGTCTTTAGAAAGAGCATTTTCCTTGTTTCTTTCTCTCAACTGGACCTAAACTGCGCGCAAAAGGTGAACTTGTTAATAAAAACCATGTAATGAAAAATTGATGAGACAGGCCTTTTTACATCTCCACCTCGTGGTATGATAACTCTGTTTAGCGAATTGTTTTGATTTCCTTTTGTTCGGATAAACCTCCTAATCGCTTCTGCCGCTTGAAAGATTAAAGAAATAGCATTCTTAATGTCACAAATAATTTTGAGCGTTTATTTTCCTTAAAGAAACAAAATACCGTATTTATTTTGGGACAATCGTGTGCGCGTTTGAAAACTGCTTTAAACCTTGCGGTTGGGCAAATGGCATACTCCTTAAAAAATAATTACGGCTCTGAAAAAAGCTTAAACAAAGCAGTGATAAACTTGTGATGGCCATTTGATAAGACATGTCTGTGTTCGCAAGCAGCTGTACACATGCCGCAGCCAAACTGCGTCTCCAAAATTTGTGCGAATTCACTTTTATTTGGATATCAAAATATCAAACACAGCACGCACAAAAGGTCTCCATTGTCAAACTGGCCCGGTTACGCAAGAGGAACACTGAAGAAAAAAATCTTGTTTCGTTGTTTAAGTTTAATATATTCTTCAAATATTAAATACAGAGCTACAAGTGAGCTTAATAGAAGTAAAATTGCAACTAGTGTTATTTTTTAATATTCTCTCTGGTCAGAGAAAATGCTAAAATTGGTTCCTTGTTGTGGATTTCTAATTTTTCTTGCCGATCAAACATCATCTCAAAATTATAGATATTGAAATTTTCTAACAAAATTATGCTTTTACGCACGGATCTAACATAAAGTTCAATATTTCGAGTCAGAACATTGGAGAGGTCTTCTTAAAAGGTTATAAACTGGGTATGAATGAGAAAAATACGTTTAAATTATTTCACATGTAATACGCAAATACAGAAGTCTTAATGCGTCAAGGAAATGACAGTTGTCGAGCTTCTAGCGAAGCTAACAGTCAAATTTGACAACCAAAGCAACGTACAGAACTTTCCAATTCCGATATTGCCAAAGTCTTTCGTAATAATTTACAAATTAGTAAAACACTTTTTAAGTGGCGGCAAAATGGAATATCGTCTACAATTTATTGAAATTATTAAAATTGCTCCTAGCACGCGCGTTATGCTAAAAACAGTGTTCCAAGTCCTAACCGAGAATGTTTCGTTTGGTTTTACGAGAGAATATTGTAACCATTTTCGAAATAACTCGCCCGAGTTTGGTTTGCCGCGCTCCATTTAGATGCCGAAAAACCATAATTTCCCCCATAACAGGTAGATGCGTGGGTCGCCTGCCTTTGACTGTAATTTTGCTGCATGTTACAGGCAATGTCATTAACAGTGTGTGAAGTTGCGTAGCTTCTTACGGAAGGGGCGCTAAAATCTTCCGCTTTCGCGGAATTGTCGAACGAAAACGGTACGCGCTGTTCGAAAAATTCGTCCATAGATGCGAGATTATTTTCTGATTCGTCCGAGTACGGTGAATACGGATCCACTGAGGAACTGCCATCAGATAAACTGGCAGGGCGACTTGAATTGTTCGACGCACAATCGCTCTCTTCCGACCAACGCTCAATGAAATCGTCCAACTCGGGACGAAGCCAATCTAGCATTTCAAGTTCAGAGCGCTGCAAATCGTTGTTCGTGAAACTTGCGGTTGGGTGGCGAGTTGCTTGCACAGATTGACGCGATACTTTGGCTGACGATGGCTCGCTCCAAAACGACTCGGGGAGATTTCGTTTTCTAAGTGGTTGCGAAGGCGTAGAAAAAATCTCTTCGGGAAACCTCGCATCGCTTATTCGCTGCTTCCGCTTTATGTCTCTTGTCTTTCCCTTCCCTTGTTCGTGATTAAATGCAGGCGTATTGATTTCTAGCGCTTGTAACTTTTCGGCGCGGTTTTCCTTGGAGTTTTTGGTTGAAGATCGTTCCCCGGAAGAGTTCTGTTGCTGTTCCGGTTTTAAAACATGGTCGAGTACCTCGCCGTGGCTCATCCAAGAACTCTCGTAAGACATCGTACATGTTGTAGAAGATGCCTTGCCTTTGAGCTGGCGTTGAAGGTACTTTCGATGGTTCACTTTTCTCTTCGGTTTGACTGGCTTGTCCAGAGCAAATTTCAAGGTGTTGGTCGCATTGCTGACAAAATTGAGCAACGAGATTGTCGTTGTGTTTTCCTCGGCAGAATTCTTCATCTTGTGTTCTTCCGCTCCTTCCCTGCAGTTGCGATGTATGGTAAAGTACAACGGTGTCCAGAAATCAAACTCTTAAATTGTTTGTGTTTAGTGATCAAACAAGCATTAGCCCTTTGCCCATTTGCCTGCGATCTTCGCTGAGGTCACCAGATCAGTGGCGAGAAGAAATAGCAATTCGAGAATTAAACCGAGGAAATGTGGTGTACTCCGGCGCTACCGCAGCTTAAATGGCTTCTAATAAGCCAAACAGCTGTTGACTTCGTGCCAAAGGGCCTTTTAACTAAGCGAGCGTATTTTTTCCCACTCGTGGGAGGAGTGAGTAAAAACGTGTCTATTATTCACTTCTTTTTTTTTACTATGTGATACGGGAAATTATCAGCACGCCATTGGTCAGTTATTTGTCAATAGCTTTTAAACACGACTGAAGCCTTAAACCTCTCATTTATATGTCAAAACAACTGTGTCTTGGATTGAAATTACCTCAATAGCTAATAAGTCGACCAACATTATCATAAATTACCATTTTTCAAATCAAAACATTTGTTTTAACTTCCCAAAACTGTTTAAAATACGTTTGATGAATATGAGGGCAAATTTTTATAAGGCTGTCCTATCACACTTCAATCTGAAGTCGGTTCTTTCTGATAACAATCAACTTCCTCATTTTCTGTATTTCCCAGCTGTACTTCTTACGCATAAAAGCGACTCGGTGAAGACTTTTATAACATCACGTAATTTTTCCCAATTATATTTAAGAGAAGAGACTGGGTTTATTTAGCGATTTTCTGTTTTTCTTTCGATAAAAACACTATCTAGTATCTTGGGATTCGGTGTTCCACATTGTTGTCACTGCAGTCACTTGCGAGTCTTGCATCGACTAAACGAAACCCTCACAATTTATCTCCGAGTTAAAAATGCTCTACAAAGGCAATTGACATTTAACTCGACGAATCGCTTTGTCTGCTGTCCGAATATCATTGGACAGTATGTTTACTTTAACTTTTAATTCTAGACAGAGTTATTAAATGGCCATTAACAGCAAGACGTCGGCCAGTACTGCACAAAGCAAGTGCTTAATATATTCACGCGCGCTCGTCGAAATGATTAAAATAAAGATTTTTTTCCGTAATATGCCTGCACGAGATCGGGTGAGATGCTTTCTTTTAGCTGTGGGTGTATATTTGGACCTGTGGTTAACACTTTAAAGTTCGTTTTTACTCTTTTTTCGTCTTACCAGGTTGTTGGTTTGCGTTCATGCAGTTAGTTCACTGCTCTTTCGCCGGACCTCGCTACCATCTTAACGGTCTCTAAGTAACATAATATCAAACACTCAGTTTTTGAATTAAAAGGCAAACGACGTTTTACCGAAATTTCATCTTATTGAAACAAAAAACCAAAAGCAATATTTCCATCAGTCGAGCTTTAATCTTATTGTTTCCAGTTTAAAGGTGACGCAAGGAAAGGCAAAACAATTCTTTATGGCCGACATGCATGTTTTTCAACTCACGAATTTCGATGAATTTTTTTATGTCTGAAAAACGGTTTTAGGTCAAGAATGATAGAATTGTCAGAATGCATAAATCTAGCAGTGAAGTATTTAGCTATTAGAGAGACTTTTTGGCGTCTTATTGAGAGAAAAACATTTCTACTGTCAGAAACATCTGTTGGGAAAATGAATTGGCAACCTGTCTAAGGTTTTGAGCAGTGATCATAAATTATGTCTTAATGGCCTAAAACGTCTCAGCTTCGTTGTCTATTTTAATTACAGTTTTTTCTTAAATTTTATGGGGAAAAATGTCTGAAGATTATAACCAGTAAAATTTGGGAAACCCTTTGAAGGCCGGGTTTTGCTATGAGTTTTCAGCCACTGAAACAATCTGATCAAAAATTTCATACAGGTATGAAAAAAGTATTGGTCAGTTTGAAGACGGAATAAATCATTTTTAATTTGAATTAGATGCGTCGAGTCTTTTCAAAAGAGCAGCACTATGTTTTAGGTGAAAACGAGACATGTTCACTGATCTAATCGTAAAACACAAAAGAAAAGAAGCCAATATCTAACGCTTGTCATTTGCTCGATTTGACTGACAAGACGGTCTTACTTCATCCCAGCTCGACAAAAGCAAAGCAATTTCTGTTCTACCTTTTAAGCAGAGAATAACGTCTCCCGCCCAGATAATTTGTTGTTTATAACATCGCCGACGGATGTCAAAAAGTCTGTTTAAACCTGGTGTATTCTATTGTCAGTGTGTGTTAAGATTATTTTTCCCACAAACTCCGAAATTTTACGCAGTATTAAAATTCGGCTGATGGTTAATGCCGTCTCCAAAAAAAAACTCTCGTATGTATGAAACGCTTGCTTCTGCGGAAAAAGTTGAGTGTGGTTGGAAATTTTCCCTAAAGGCAAGCCGTCCATTAGGGCTTTACATAAATATCCGGATATTTTTTGGGATATTTAGAATTTTCCGCGATAGTTAGAAAATATTAAGATATTTAGAAAATTTGGGGATATTTAGAATTATTCGTAGCTTTTTGTGGCTTAGTCCTCTGTTTTCCTCGCTATTCCCTCGAAACAAGACTTAGTTTTATGCCAGAAACAATCCAGCTCAGCGATTTCCCACTCAAAAAATGTATTGCATATCACTAATAGCGCTGAAGGAACAAATTTAAAAAATGGCGGATGCTCGTAACATCGAAGCGCCTGAATCTTCTTCCTCAACTCAACTGTCACTGCAAGAAATTGTAAAAATTTCGGCCTGAGTGATTCAAAATCGGTACATTTTTACGACAAAAATGAGATATTTAGCGGGTTTTTCGAGATATTTAGAAAATTTTTGATTATTTATTTAGGAGATTTTTTGAGAATTTCCGCAAAGATATCTAGGCGAACGTGATATTTGAGGAAAGGCCTACGGCGTCCATACATAAAAATTCACACTTGACAGATGTAAAATAACGCATACACGCACGCTAACTGAAGGTAGTTAGTTAATAACTCGCAATAACGCAAAGGTCTCAGTTGTTTGCGACTCATATAATAATTTGAAATCAAAATTTAAATGTTTTGGAATTCTTCACTGTTCTGTAAAGCGGTGATGAAAATTCGGCATGCTCTATGGTAAAATGACTGTCAAAATGCAAATTTAACTTGTAAAATATAATTGCAGGACGTACGCCCAACTTCCCCTTCTCTCCTACAAAAGACCTATTTTAACGTTGCACGACGACCAAAAGGAAGTGTGAGTCTAAAATAACTTCTATTACGACTACTTATAATTTGAATTCTATGACATTTGCAACGATGACGAACTGAACACAATTAGAGATTTAAATATGGATTCTCAACCTTTGATACAGACAAGCAACTTTTTTTTTCGTCCAGCTAAAACATGTTATATTGATAGGGCCTGACACAAGGTTAATTCTCTAAAATTTAATTATTTGTTCGCTCAGCTGAACCTTGTCTTTTGTTATAACGGAGACATAAGCAATTTTTTTGATTAATTTCGATCATTTGCCAAGTTTAATCAACGTCCTTGACAAGTGTCGAGTTGTTTCTGTTTGGCTAGGTCGGCGGACAAGCCGCGGAAAACTTTTAAGGGCTTATACGCTCGAAATGAAAATTCGCCATGGTTAGTGCTCGTCTTATTGTGAAATATAAAGCAAAACAGAACTATAACATTCCTAAGCAATTTTGTAGTAATTTCTTGTCACAAATTGTCCCAGGCGAGAAGAAAATACTACCACTAAAGCAAATAGCCTAGGGGACAGAGGTAAACTTTTCACTTCCTTGAGAAAATAAACGTAATTTGCGCGCCCCTCACTGAATTCCTTCCCCCGCAAGATGACAGCTACGGCTACTACGCATCGAGAGGGTGTTTCCTCAGGGCGTACTTCTACGAGCACGTTTCACGGATCCTGAAAAAGTTTTCGTTTTTCAAATGAAAAATGGCCCGTCGTGTCAATGGAAATTTGTTCTCCCGCTCACACACGAGAAGGACATCAATTTGTTGAAGGAATTTTTTTCAAGGAAAACTCATGCGTGGGGCTGAAAATCTGCTGTATTTTTACAGTTCTCACTTGCGAATGTAAAATTCTATAAGTCGTTTTGAACCGCAAGAATGACGGAAAACTACTGATGGTAAATTTTCGTTTGTTCAGCATCGTTCACATTTTCCGCGACAATTTGCAATTCTATACACCATTCAGCAAATCACATACATTTACTCTAAAAATACTTGTTGTCTTGATTGGAGCATCAAAATTTGAAAACTCTTTTTGACGCCGAAAGATCGCATAAATTATTGTCAACTTTTGTTAAAGTTCATGGCAAATAAACGCGTGCGACTTTTAGGTGTTTTAGTGACTTAAAATTTTGACAGGTATTTAAACGTGCTAACGGTTAGGTCCCGTCTACATTACGCCGGAGAAATTTAAAAACAGCGTTTTCACTCTGAAGACGCATCAAATGTTTTCCGTCCACACTACGCTGGAGGAAGTTAAGAACGCAACAATAACGGGTCATTTTGGATTTGTGTTTGAGGAAAACTCGGGCAGGGAAATCACGTGATTATCGTGACGTCATCGTTTGAAGAGCGTTTTCGAAAAGCTCTGTTTTCGTGACGGATTAGTGTGGACGGTAGGCCTAACCGTAGAAGTAAAGCT